ATTTAGGGGTTCATACACCTTCTTATAACAAAAGTTATAAGGAAATACACAGGTCCTTATTTTCAGTAGATATCTCTTCGGTGCCAAAATGAACGGACAAAACACACAATCAGATGAGCATACTCAGTGACTCGTTTGATCAAACAATAAATATAATTTACAGTATCAAATAAATCACTAATGTACAGCTTATTGTGGACAATCAAATTTCCTATGAAATTTTTAACAACAAACTTTTAGGTTTAGATGTTAATAAACCATTTGTTTGCAGCACTTTTTCTTGAGTTTTGGCAGGGCATAGGTTTAAGAGGAAAGAAAGGTGGAGGAAGAGGATTAGTTTTAACTTTATCCTTTAAAGAATTGTGGATTTTAACCAGGAAGGGCATATGTCTCTCAACGGATCCAGCCAAGCATCAGGTACTGTATGCTCAGTAACAAACAGCCATTACCTTGACCAAGGATAATTTCACCCACCACGGCTCAAGTCGGAGGAAAGACCGTCGAAGTGGTGAAGAACTTCTCGGGACCTCATCCACTCGGACACTTTCCAAGCGTGTTTACGTTACGAGACGAGGCACTTCTTTGTGTCCTTCTCAAAAATAGAATACTTCTGCCATGGAAGTTTCAAAACAAAAGTTTCTCTGTGAGTAACTTTGGTAAGCTCAAAATAATAGAYGAGACCGAGTGATGGTCTGGTCTAGACTGAGAGTTTCCTTTTGACTCAATGGGCTAAACCTCACAGACAAACACTGGTTATCCTCTTTGGAGAGCCAGCTGCATCCTCGTGAAACACAAGCGCGTTCGCTTTTCCAATTCAACTCAAATAACTGTTGTTAGTTCAGAGATGTTAGTTTAAAAGGAGGAAGTGTTACTGAAGCACTGCCAGGTGTTGTTTGTCTTCAACAAAATTGTTGACATCTGCACAGTCGTACAGCTCGTTCTGACCTGCTCTCTGCTGAGAGCAATTTAAAGAACACTTAAAGAATGATTTACTGAAAACTGAAAAGTTAATTATTTCATTTAAAGCATCATAATGATTCAGATAAAAAATAATTATAAAATGTTTCAAA